CAGAACATGGCTAAAATGGAAAAAGAAAAAGTATTAGATGCCAGAATTGAAACTATTTTAGTGTAAATGGAGCTTCTTTTAACTACAACTTGTGATCTTCTGTTTTCCTGTGAGCCCCTTCCAAACCTTACTAAACCAGTGAGTGTTCTAAGGGATTGGGCACAGTATGAAATCAAAAGGCTTATCTTGCTGCTACACAGTAGTCCATATGAAGAGTTACTAAGTTTTTTACATCTAATGCTGCTCATTTTAAGCAGCTTTGAATGCTGACAACAGATGTTCTAAAAAATGCTGTCAGTAATAGAGCCATGAAGATGTATTTTCAGGTAAGTAAAGACGAGGATGACAAACCTGTTACTGACCCCACCCTCTGGAGTTAAGACTAAGCCCTGGCAGAGAGGTGAGGATGCCACAACGTATCAGACAGGTTGGTTTCTATAATCCTCAAAGACGCAAATAGAACATATGTTAATGGCATGAGCATTTCTCTCCTGTGACTACACCCTGTCTAGTTTTATGAACCTCTGAACCAACAGCCCTTTACCTCTTAGTACCTACTCTTACTTTTAGTCAAAGGTCTCCAGCCCAACAGAGACCCAGCTTGTGGGCTTCTGAAGCCAAGGACAGCTTTATGAGGGTTGCCACTGCCTCTGAACTGATTTCCATCTCCAGTGTGCATTAAAATTTTGTCAAAATACACAGATATATTTATAAACTGTGTTATTATTAAAAAAAAGTCACAATATAGAAGGAGGCCAAAAAAACCCCAAACGTGTAAACTAGCTTTTTTTTAGTGTTTGAAAGTTGTTAGACACTCAGTCTAGCAGAAAGACATGACTGCTCATTTGTTTTCTTACTGGCTCTATACCTGACCAGCTCCATATGGCTAAAACGTCGAAGTTCTCCAAGACTCTCAATGTTCTCATTATTCAAATCACCATAACAAGACTTACCTGTTATATGGTGGTTTTCAAACCTGCAGGAAAAATAAAAAGCGCAGAAACACCAATTTTATTACAGTTCCTTGAGCAGCAGCATATGTCAATTTGTGACAACATGGAATAATCAGAAACATGTCCTGGACAAGATACTGTATATAATTTCTCAACACTGTTCTCTTCCTACAGTCCTTTCACAGCTTCATTCTGTGTAGATGGTCCAGTCTGCCAAAAAATTTGAATGCCAACATCCTAAAGCTACCCTAATAAAGTTCCTGAGCAAGTCTATAACATAGGTGACGTATATAGCAACATCTACTGTTCAAAATAGCTGTTGGCACTTTTGAGCATAAGTGTTTCTGATTGTTTCTATCATTGTCAGCCTTAACCAGTTAAAAGCCATAATGAATTTTGAAAATCCATTAATTTTGTTGGAAAAACCTTAGCAACATTATGTTTTGCTCTCTGCTATAATACATGACCTATTTTCTAGGGACCAGACTTTGGTTATCTTCACAAGGGTACACCCAAAACCAATCAGGTTTGCAGCCTCTGAAGAATCTCAGAGCTCGATTGCCAAATACCCCAGTGGCACTGATCATGTTCTCTCCACTCATCTCTCTGATCTGCTGACCACAGTGCATGTCACAGCCCCACCTTGCATCGTTTCCTGATACTTCGGGAGTGACTCACACATCCTTGCGACTTTCCCTGAAAGCAGATTTCCCCACTTTCCTGTGCCTGGGGAGTTTCACAAAGCCCACTTACCAAATTTGTAGTGAAGACCTGGAAATGACCTGGTAAAAACCTAGCTCAGATCCCAGTATCACACTAATTCTTATTGGCTTCAGAAAGAGCTGGATTTTTCTCCTCAGATCTGATTCACAGTTCACAGAAGTCAACAGAAAATCTCCTCTCACTGGTGTCAACCTCTCCTGAGTACATTAGTGAACAGAACTTTATTCTCCAAACAGATCTGAAGCAGATGTAAATTAGAGAGCAAAAGTTGAAAAATGAAGATCACATCAGTTTTCTAATATAATTTCACATAGTTGGTGTATGTAGGTCTTGGTGACCAAAATTTTTTTTCTTTTTGCTATATAGCAGAGTCAGTAATGTGCTCAAAGCATTTAAATTATAATTTGTCTGAGCTGTAATTATGATTTATTAAGAGTAAACCACAACTAGCCTACACTGCACTGCCTAATCAGCATTCAGCTATTTGATAAGAGGAGGTATCTCAAACAGTTGATAAAATTATCCTGTTTATAACCAATATGTGAGGCCTTACCTTTAAAGCTTTGGGCTGAGGAAAGTTAATATAGAATAGCCATTGAATAAGGTCACGTATTCCAGCACAAAGAGTTAAAATTGCCACAAAAGTTACAAAGAATACGCTGCCTCCCAACCCCCTGGAAACCAAAGTACTTTTGTAATAAAGCTACTGCAATACTCAGGCCCTTTTATCTCTTTAGCCACATGCCTGCTCTACTGGCTTTGATTCTACAAAGAAACTTCCCTCAACCGGGAAAGAAGGTAAGATCAACACTATTGTGAATCCTCCCTCATTTCCATTGTCTTGCTGGGGAACAACATCATGTAGAGCAACTCCCCTTCAAAAATACTGAGCAACATTTAAACAATCATTTTTTTCAGATTTGGAAACCTAGTGAAATCATACATTGTGAGCTCTTTATTAGATCCTGCAAACTGGAGCCAAATTAAGCACCATACTACAAAAAGCAACATGATACATCTATCTTTGCATCACAGTTATGGTACAACTTTCTATAAGTAAAAACTCACAGTTTGTAATGTATCACACTAAAGAACCAAAACCACTGTAAGGGGCTTTACAGCCTTAAGACCATTCAACCCTTTAGATACTAAAGGTTATGGCTATTTTTTTGTATACTGACAAAAAAAGATACCTGTATAGTATCTGGAGGTGGTTGTAGAAGCAGGGCTGCTTTCAGCAGTAGCCACTGCATGGTTTCAAGACTGCAGAGTAAGGCTTGGATTTTTAAAACTAGGTACAGAGATTTGTCTATAGAGAACAAAGGCCAGGAGGAGAAGGAGGATTAACATGCACCCAGCCTGTTCTGTTCTTCTACATTTAAGTATTTGAAATAAAAAAATAAGAAAAAAGGGCAAAAGGCTTAAATAAAATTTATTGTTCCTTATAATTAGGGCTTATGTCGTTCAGCTTGGCAATTTGATAACAAGATAACTCTTCTCATCTTGAACAAACTGGTACATTTACATAGAAAATGAGCTTAGAGTAAGGCAGGCATTTCTGAGCCTATTGATGCTGCTCATCTTTCTGAAAAACACCATCATTTGACAGCAGCAATGCAAGATGTATCTGAGTCTTCAATCTTCCCAAGTTTTCATATTGCTAGTATCAAGCTTTTATTTTGAGTCTTTGACAAGTGTATCAGAAGAATATAAGAAGCCACAAAAAACCTCAAAGAGAACCAAGATAAATGCTGTAAAACACCAATCTAGGCGGTACCAGGAGCAAACCCAAAGAACAGCCCTTTAACTTGGACCCATCTGAGACAGCACCTACCAGATTGCAGCGGGGCACTGGATACAAAATACAAAACCAGATACAACACAAACAAGCTGCGCACAGAGACAAACCCACAAAGATAGCTCACCTGCACTTTCATTTCAGAACTTGTAAAGTTTCCAAAGTTTCATTAACTGCGGTCTGCCTGTACAAACGCAGCAACATGTTTTTATTGTACAGTGAACAGGTAAGAGGAAATTTGAAGTCTTTGAAAACGCTGTTGATTTCTCATACGTGCAGGAACAGACTTAGAGGGATGTCATTCTGTTTTTTTCCTGTACTAAAATAACTTGTTTTTCTCAGGTACTAATATAACTTTCAGAAAGATCTATGCATATTTTTTAACTGAATTAATAAACTCAAGCTTCAGAATATATTTCCAGTGTGGCATATCCTTTGTCTTCCATTTTGGCATTGCTTTTACTCTTAGGAAAGCCATTTTAAAGCCTGCAGCAGGCTTTCGCGTGCTTCCTTCTCAGCAACTTCGCAGGGCTCTGGCACTACCTCCCATTTTGTAGGTTCCCACAAAGCTGTGCTGCTCAGAGACAAAGCACCCAGGACTACGTTTTCCCGAACAAGGAAATGCGGATACTGCAGCACCAGGAGCGACTCTTCAGAACAGCCCTAAGGTAGAGAGCTCTACTGGGTAAAAGAAACAAACAAACAAAAGAAAATAAAAACGAAACACATAACTAGCACAAAGATCCTTACGAAATGGTTCATTCTATACAGACAAGAGTTCTGGTTTTTAAGATAACTGAGGAATTATCAGGAGCTATGTCCAACACAGAGCGGCTCACAGGGCACCCCAGTACGCGAACAAAGCTCACTATGGAGTATGAGCATTTGCTGCTGGCTCTCGGCACGACGAGGGGGGAGCGGAGACACCCCCCGCCGCCCTCCCGAGGGAAGATCCCGGCGGCCACGCGGCCAGGGCAAGGCAGGGACCTCGGGGCGGCTGCCCCAGCGCGCTGAAATTCAGCGGCGACCGCGGGAAGCCCCGCGCCGGGAGGGGCGCCGGCTCTGCTCCCCCTGCCCGTGTGTCACGGCGAAAACACGCCCGGGAGCTCCCTCGATGACTAACAGTTTCCCCTCGACGGCGGGGGCAGCTGTCCCCCGGATCTCCGCCGCAGCCCCGTCCCGCCGCCCCTCACAGAGCGGGCGGGGCGGTTTCGCAGCCCTTTTACCGGGCACGGCCGCACCTCGGGACGCCCCTCGCTCCGCTGCTCCCCCTCCCCATCCCGCCGAAGAGGCTCTGCTTGGGCCGGGCCGGGAGCGGTTCCCGCCCTGCCCCATCCAGTTTCGCCCAGGTGCGGGGGGAGGAGGGGGCGGCGGTGGTTTAATGCGCGCTCGGCTGTCCCGGGGGAGGAGCTGCCGCCGCCCCCCCCGCGTCCCAGGTGTAACCGGAGCCGGGAGGGCGCGACGCAGCCACCTCCACCTGCGGAACCTGTCGGGCGGCTCACTCCGCTCCGCCGCCGCTGCCCTGCACGGACCGCTCCCTGTCCGCCCGCGTCCCCGAGGACTTTTCCCCGGCCTCCCCGCGCCCCGCCGCCCGCCCCAGCCATGAAGCCGCTCTGCGGGGCTGCGCTTTTCCTGCTGCTTCTGTTCTGCACCGCCGCCTGTGCCCAGCAGAGCTGTGAGTACCCGCATCCCTCCGTCCGCCCTGCTCCCCGCTCCTGACGGGGCTCCCCCACCCCGGGACCCCCTCCTGCCCCCCGCTGTCCGCGGGGCCGCCCCGGCGGCGCCACAAAAATTGCGCCCCCCTCCCTCTGCCAGAGGTGCGAGGAGGGAGCAGGAGCGCCCGACCCGCGCCCCTTTGTCCCCAACCCGAGGGGAACCCCGGCGTTCCGAGGGAAGCTCTCGCCTCGCTCTCGGGGAGGGAGGGTGGGTGGTCAGGTGGGAAGCGGTGGGGTGCGGGCACGCCACGCCCGGGCTGCCGGGGGCGGCTTTGTCCGTCCTTCCCGACTCCCGGCGGCAGGGCGCGGGCGGCAGTGCCCGGCTCCCTGTCCGGCTCCCTGCCCGCCGTACCCGCTCACGGCCGCGCTTCTCTTCCAGCGTGCATCTGCGAGAAGAACAAGCGTGTCAGCAACTGCAGGATAGACAATGGGAAGTGTTTGTGCGACGCCGTCGGCTCCGGCATCACCGTGTACTGCGACACCCGTGAGTGAAAAGGGCACGGTGGGGAGGCAGAGCGCCGGGACATAGGTGAAAATGACCCTTGAATCCTCAGCAAATAATGGTAGTAAAGAAGGAATGCTTCTCCCTGGCCTTCCAGGTCAATTGACGATGGAAGATAAGGGTTTAGGGTGCCTCCCGTGCGACTTCTGTGGAAGTGTGTATGCTTTTATAGATGCAGGCTCCCTCCTCCTCCTCTATATTCGTTCTCCAGTGGCAAGAATTTCTCAAAGATGAATATTTAGCTTCCTTGCAAGCACATATTATCACTTTTCCTACGAATCTAGAGAGGAAAGAGCCTTGTCTCAAGACCTTACTCTAGGTTTGAGCTCAGCTAAGCTGTAAGTGAGCCTCTAGCTGTAAAAAATGAAAGCTGGAAGTCCTAAGGCTGGACTTCTTAGGCCTTTGTCTTGAGAGGCTGACATACCCAGTTGTATTGACTCTGTGCACCACCTACACCTTAGACACCTGCTCTTCCATGTAATGGCTTCAAATCTGGTTGCTGCTGATGTAATCTTGTGTTTCTACGGGCTAAGAGCTCTGTTTTGGACATGCGTGGTCTGATGCTGCATAACGTGACTTTCTGGTTATTTTTAGTGACTCCAAAATGCCTGTTGATGAAAGCAGAAGCGATGGGCTCAAAATCAGGGCGTCGTGAGAAACCAAAAGATGCGTTTGAAGATACTGATGGCCTTTATGATCCTGAGTGTGAAAACAGTGGTGCTTTCAAGGCGAAGCAGTGCAATGGAACCACCTGTTGGTGTGTGAATACAGCTGGTGTTAGAAGAACTGACAAACATGATGCAGACTTGAAATGCAATCAATTAGTCAGAACGATGTAAGTCTTTCAACAGGGTGTGCTGTGACATGAAAACATTCCTGTATGAGGCTCTGCCTTGTGTGAATGATGTGCTGAGAATGAATGAAGATGGGGCAATAAGCACTTGATTACTGTTGGGGTTTTTTTCTTCAGAAACAAGGAGACATTGAAGGAGTTTGGAAGGGACTTTCTTCCTTTGTTTTTATCTCACTGTTCTGTTTTTTAACCTGGGGTTAGATTTTTTCAGTATGCGTTTTATAGGCACGTGCTTTAAGAATATTCATTGTACTTCAGATGGATCATCATTGAAATGAAACATGCAGAGAGAAACGCTCCTCTGAACGCCGAATCTTTAAAGAAGTAAGTGATGATTGTAAGATGTCATGACATGTCTGCGTGCTCTACTAGATATCTAGTGTAATTCTGTACAATTGTTTAAAAGCATTGTAAAACTTATGAACTCATTTGTAAGACACCTGAGAAGTGAGCTACGAATCCTTTATAGAAATGCTCTAATTTTTTTATTGGAAATAAATTAACTGCTAATGAGATTCGTTGGCATTTAAAATTGATTTCTACCTTTTTTTTCCTTACGTCAATATACTGAAGGAAATGGGAGTTGATAGGTGAAACTGGCTAGAAAGTAAACTGACAAAGATGGCAGAGGGACTACATAGAAGCAGCAGGAGAAAAACAACAGTTTAGTTATATTGCCTGTAACGAAATCCTACTTCTCTCTGTAAGAGGTCATATAGAAAGAAAGATATGCTTGTAGCTATTAGATATTCCACTTTATGGAACAAAAGCTGCTGCCCTCCAGCTCCTCTTCTGTATAACACTGCAGTAGTGTAGGTGTTTATTTTTCAATAAGTGCACCTTTATTGTTACCACATAACTGTAGTATACTTTATAAAGAGAGTGTACTCGATTTGGCTGGGATGGGGTTAACTTTCTAGGTAGTAGTTTGTATGGTGGTGTGTTTTAGACCAGTAACCAAAACAGTGCTAATAAGTCACCAGTGCTTTAGATGCTCCTGAACAGGACTTACATAATGTCAAGACCTTCTCAAACTCTCACTCTGCTGCCCCAGGGAGTAGGTTGGAGGTGGGCAAGAGGCTCGGAAAGGGACAGGGCTGACCTGAATTGACTGAGGAAATAACCCATATTGTATACTGTCATGCTCAGCAATCAATCTGGGGGAATTTTTTTCCCAAGTAGCCATTGCTCAGAGATTGGCTGGACATTGATCTGCTAGTGCTGAGTGATTGCTTTTGCATCACTTGGGATTTCTTTTCCCCCCACCCAACACTTTCATTTATCAAACTGTCTTTATTTTGACCCATGAGGGGTTTTTTTCCTTATTTTTGCTCTTCTGATTCTTTTCCCAATCACGCCAGGGGGAAGTGAGTGAGAGACTAGGTAAACATTTAGCTGCTGGCTGAGGTTCACCCCCAGAGAGAGACTGCAGGAAAAAACTATTACACTGCTCTTTTCTGCTTCTGAAATTATATGTGTAAAATAGTACTGTTTCTAACACATGGCTTTAATATCCTTACAGGTTCTTCATGGATACAATTACCAGTCGTTATTTGCTGGATGGACGCTATATAACTAATGTTGTGGTAAGAGGCACATAATTTTTAGTAAAGTATCATTATTTTATTTTGCTGTGAGTAACTTTTAAAACTCTTGTTTAACTAATGCGGTAGAGCATGAGTCTTATTAGAAGCTCTCAAAGTAGTGACACTTACTAAGCAGTTAGGAAATAGCTGTATCTGAACTGAATGCTGAGAAATTACACTGTTCTCCTTAGTCTGTAGATGAATTCTTTGCTTCCATAAAAAAATGGAATTTGAATCATACTGTAAACAGTTGGCTTAAGATGAAGTATCATAAACTTGATTCAGGATGTGGGTTCGTGAGGTGAATCATATTTTGCTAGGCTTTAAACTCCTTCTTAATACCACACTGTATTTTTTGCAGTATGAAAACCCGTACATTACTATTGATCTGAAGCAAAATTCCTCAGACAAATATTCTGGAGGTGTGGATATAGCTGATGTGGCCTACTACTTTGAAAAAGATGTAAGTGTGTCCTGGGTAAAGTCTGCCAGAAGCTGGCTGTGTGTATTGCACTGCATTCGGGAGTCTTGTTGTGCACAGGCTAAAGCAAGATGAATTATTGCAGGCCCTGGATAAGTGCCTACTACGATGTGAACTAGCAAGTCTCTCCTTTCCTATCGGTTTTTAGGTGAAAGGTGACTCCATCTTTCATAATAACAGACTAAATGTCAGCTTTGATAACGAAGCCCTGAAGCTTGAGAAGACAGTGGTCTTATACGTTGATGAAATAGCACCAGAGTTTTCCATGAAGTCTCTGACTCCTGGCGTGATTGCTGTCATTGTTGTAATAGTGATAGCAATAGTTGCTGCAATTGTTGTTCTGGTAAGTTCTAACAATCCTGCCAACGGTGCAATTTGGGAAGGAATAATGTACCAGCGTAATTGGATGCTGATAGAAACAGTCTCCCTCTCTAAACTGGCTCGCTTTTCCAGACTTGGGAGGTGGGAAATCGATGATGGACATACTGTCACTTTAAAGTTAAAACTGAAGGTTGTCACCTGAAAAACAAGTGGGGGGAACAATTCATTGAGATTAAGAAAGTACTTCCTGCTTTAAAGTAGCTGAGACTGAAACACAACTTCTTTTGTACCTCACTTTGGAAGGGTGGGGGAAGGACAGCTTCAAGTTTTGTGTTTTAAAGTCAAAACCAAGTTACAAGTAAGTCAAGATGAAAAAAAATTGTGTTCTCTTACAGGTCCTCACAAGGAGAAGGAAAGGGAAGTACGTGAAGGCTGAGGTAAATAATTTCTGTTTCTGGTCTACATATGGGGAGGAGGTTGACCAGAATCCAGAAACTCCTAACTTTGGTGTAGGTTGAAAGCTTGCTTTGGGTGCTTCGTCTGTGTTCAAGGAGACTGAAAGTATTCACATTCTGTAGCTAGTTTTCACATCTGTGTAGTTCTGCACTACTTCCAGTGGGAACTGGTGATCTGCTGTTTCCCAGGTCTGGGGGGTGGGGTGCGCTTCTGACGGCAAGTACTACTTTACATATCTATAGCAAGGGGCCGTACAATCCACAGGAAATACTGATAGTCTTGTTCTGTAATGAAGACCTTTACTGAGGTATTTGCATGCAGCTCGCGGTGTCTATTGAAGAGCTACTTTCCAATGGAATAGAAAACGGTGCTTCACGCCAAGTGTGTGGAGCCTTTTGTTAAGTAATTCAAACAATGTTGTAGCTAAATAGAAACATCTGCTTCATTCACACACCCTAAATAGTGCTTTGTTCTTATCCCCAAAAAAAAAAAAAAAAGCTGGTGGTTTTAGTATGGTTGATAGTGTTGCATCACATGCATTTGCTAATAAAAATCCAAGCTGCTAAATCCCACTGACTTCTTGAGTCTTAACGTTGAGAAGTAGCACAACTTGATTTCCCTCTACCTCCTCCCCTCAGGTGAAGGAAATGAATGAAATGCACAGAGGACTGAATGCGTAATGAAAACAACTGAAGACAAGTAAGATTCAAACAAGACAACAAACATCATTGAAGGCATGGATCTTAACTCTTAAAAGTTTCCTCATGAAAGGGAGGCAGTTGTGCTCACTTAGTGATTGGTAAAACAGCCAAGATTGGTAACCAAGCTTTTACTATTTGTTGAGGGTTAAATCTTAAATGCCCCGTCTTACTCAAGTCAAACTTAACTATTGCTCCCTGATTTTACTTTTTCTTATGATGATAAAATGAGTTGTCAACTGCTGTTACTAGGGTTTTGGAGCATACATGCTTAAATGGTTATTTTACCCTTGTGGGAGTTTTGTTAAAAATGATTGTGTAGCCATGTTGTAATGAGACTGTCTCCTGTATAACTAAACATGATGTTTTTATGGCAGTTTGTACATATTTGAAGTTGCTGTAACTTTTTTATGACTTGAATTAATAAAACTTGGAAACAGGCTTCTATTTTTTCCATGTTGAAATGATGATCTGCTAAGTTATCATGCTTACGAATTTGTAGTTTAATATTTCCTTAAAGGAAGCAACCTCAGCATAGGTGAAAATATGCTAGAACTCCAGTTAGCAGTTTGTATTAGCCATCTAATATCTAAATAGCATGATAGTTTTTCTGGAAACTGTGAAAAGCTTTCAACAGGAGTGAAATGAAATACGGATTGTTGTATAAAAAATCAAGATGCTGAGAATGTAGTAATTTCAGGAATGCATAGACTACTCTTCCAAATGCTATGTTAGTATTTAAAATAAGCCTCTAATCTAGAACATCTCTGGTGTACGGTTGGGGGTGGGCAGGTTTGGCATCTGATGGTGGAGCTGGGGAAGAGCAATTTACACTATTACTGTGCTTTGCTAAACTGTCCATTGCAAAGCTGTTGCACAACAAGAAGCTGTTTCTGCTTTTGTTACTGTTCACTGTCCTGGAGGCAGACCAGACTTACACAGGCTGTCTGCCTCCCAGACCCTTGGACAAGAGAGCTTGCTTTGGCTGTCAGTAATCTGTGTCACATATGTTGGCTAGAAATCCATCCAGCATATCTGATTTATAAAGGAAATGCTGTAACTCCTGTTGCCAAAGAAATAATGAGATGCAAGATAAGGAACTGAATGACAAACCTTGTTACTAATGTGGTGTTTGTTTTGACCCCCCACTGCCTAAAACAGGAAAAGTAGGATAAACTACTGAGAGGATATTTTATGTACTGTTCATAAAATTAAATGTGAAGCATACCCTATCCGTGTGCCTGGCAGATACCACAGGGAAGTCGCTGAACTGTGTTGATGTACCTCTGTCATAGCTCACCAGGATGCCTTCTGCCTTTCAACAAGGTGGTACCAGACACGCTTGCGTTGCTGTGTTGGATATTGTACAAAAGTCCTGCAGTAGGGGATTTACTGGAGTGTTTTGCAGCCTGTTCCAGCAGCTTTGTCAGTGGTAACTTCTGTAGGGCAGGCTCTCCCCTTGCTGATATATGCCACTCCCTTTCTGCCCGGGTATTTGGGCAGTCTGCTGAGGCATGAGTTTTGTACAATTCTGTAAGCTGTTAAATAAATAAAGCCAAGTTTTCAGTAAGTTGGTCTTGTGCTGAGTCCATGTGTTTTATTGTCTTCCCCAATGCTTCTGTGTCAATATTCTCTAACTCTCTTAAATGCCTGCAATATGGTATCTTTGCCATTTCTTTCTTCTCCTTAAGATCCTAATGCCATTGTTTTCTCTCCTCCTCTCCCTACCCTCCCTATCCCGATTTCAACCATGGTTTTGGCCTGTGGGGTGGAAAGAGTTGTGTGCTGTGGTTGGGCTGGAGCTGCACATGTGCTGACTTGACTGGACTGGCTGGTATGTACCTGCTGTGTGGCCTGGACCTTGTCCCAGGCCGTTTGTTTGAACATCATTTTCTCCCTACTTTTCCCACACTAGACAAAGGCATATAGACACTTTTCAATTTCTTTTACCTAATGGAGTTTTTGTGTTAGATTTGAAGCTTAAATGTTTCAATATTGTCTTCTGGTCAAATTTGTCTGAAATTAGCCAAGGGGTTAGAAAACCACAAAGTTTACAGAAATGAAGTATAAGTGGAGGTAACTACATCCACAACTGAAAGGAATGTACTCTATCTGTTTCTAAACTCAGTTACTATGGTACAAACATGATGCTGCTCACCTCTCAAAATGATGATTAGTAATAGGGTTTTTTCCTTAGTTTCCTGTTATGAATAGTTTTATTGACCTTTATATTGGCTTTTATGTCGTTCTGTTTTGTTTACAAAACACTGCACTTGTCCAATAGTCTGGATGTATAAAAGTGTGTATTCACAGGGAAATGGAAAATTACGATGGGGGGAAAGACCTGAGAAATTAGTATTATTTACCAATTATATTACTGGTATCTTCCAGGTTATTGTGTTTTATAGTCTTTATAGCTAGAGGAGACTAATGTGCTGGAATAAAAAAAAAAGGCTGCTATCGGATAGTGTCAACTCTCTACATATGCATGTAATACTTCTCATATATAGAGAACTTTTTAACTGCTGGCAAAAAAATAATTGGTATTGAAAAATAATACAATATTAAATAGCAAAATACTAAGTGTTCTCTATTTTGATACCTGGAAAACCTTCAGTAAAGTTAAAAAGTGAGTTTCCTGTAAAAGAAATAAAGCAATAGAACTTAAAGGACTAGTAGTCACTGCATCAATTTTTAACTAGGTAAATATTTTGATGCTTCCATTTGTCTTATTCATTAACTACCTTACGTGAAGGAGCATATTTTTTTAAATGTGAAGTTCTGCACAAAACTGAGATACCGTGTTTCCCCTCTTTTGATGTAATGTCAATTGTGAAAAAGCATATGAAGGGCAGATTGAAGATTTATTAAGTAATTTGAGACTGGATGAGATTTTTTGTTACAGAGAAAGGATGGACACAAACTGTGCCAGAAACACTAGTAATAATATTTATCTTAGTGCCTATGTACAGCATGGGAAAATAGTGTTTGTATAGGCAAGTGCAAATCTATTACTTCCTTGTGAAATATTACATTAGCAAATATATATTAATATTACTGCTGAGTAAAATTAAATACATGTTTATGCAAAGACAATGAAAGACTTTTTAGAAGAGGGTATGCAAATGATGTGTTTGAGAGAGAATGACCAATAAAGTCTATTTATTACAACTTTCTTCCAAGACCTAAATAATCCCGAAGTGCAGTTTCCACAACTACAAAATGAAAGGTCAGCGCTGCATGTGTAGGGTCTGTTGACAGTTCTGTCCTCCTTATCTTCCTGACCAGTCAGAGTAAGTTTGGTATGAGAAATAACATTGTTTGTGAACCATGTTTATTTATATCCTCACCTACTGGACTTTGATCAGTATAATATACAGTGATTTTGGATTACAGACTGTTTGAAATAGCCTGAAAGACATTCTAGGCAACTAAAAATGCTACCAGCCATGCTGCTCCCATTTTACACCTGGTAGTTAGTGAATTCTAGCAGCTCCCAGAAGAGGCTGCGGGCTGGTATAGTAATAGGTCCATCGCTGGGCACACAGGCAGTCAGGTGCACTGCAGGGGTGCCTTGTGTGCTGGGGACAGTTTGGCCCAAAATTGAAGAGTTTTATGAACTTTGCTAAAACCTTTGTCCTCCTTGGCTTAGCACTGACATGCAACGGCTGGCACATGCAAGGGAAAGGGTAGTGGATGACAAGGAGGTGATGTGTCATGTTAGAGGAAACACTGACCAGCTTATAATAGTGTGTAAACTTCACACATGCAAGAAGTGTTTATTTTTCTGCTATCCCCTAAGCACACTGCAGAATTCTTATGTGTTCAGGTGCCTGCCAAGTAGAGCACGGCTGTGCCAAATGTGAGTAAAAAAAGTACACAGAAGAAAGTTAAAAGGTTCTTTACAGGGCAACAGGCACATTTTCTGTTTTCAAACTTACATTATCTAAATATTCTTATCTTTTTAATGTTATCTTAAGTCTCTGCTGCTCTGTATGTGTGCACATATAGCTACACATCAGTTTAATAACCAAATTTTCTGGTGACATCCCCATCAACTTGAAAGCATTAGAGATGCCAATGATCACACTTGTATACTGGTTAACCCCCAGTGAAAAAGAATTAGTTATTTCTTATTTTTTTCCCTGTAGAGTTGTTAAAGCACATCCATTTTCCTAACTGAAAAGCCATTGCAACTTTTCTCTATGTGCCACTTATGCATAAAAAGGCAACAAAATTAATTAAGGTCTAGATTAGCATCCATTTTCCATCTGCCATGTGTGTAACAATTAAAGCCATCTTCTCATTCTTGTCGCTCCTGGTAGGCAAGAGAGAAAGCAGGAAGGGTTCTGTTACCTACAGCGGCAGAGTGAAGCAACCAAGCCTGGCAACAGGGAACTGATCCCCACTCGGAGCTAGACCTGTGGGGATCAGCTGGTGCACTGCTGGAGCTGCCCTGGAAGAATAACTGGGACAAAGAAAATGGCAGAAGCTCAAAGGAAAGGTGATCAGTCCTGTGATGTTTTATGCAAGGGATGTCACAATATAAATGTTTTTCACGGCTTGTGGTCACCAGGCTAAGAACATTAGTGGCCAGTTGGGGTGGAGGCTTTAGGCAGATGAGAGCCTGCCTTAAGCAAACTGCTGAATGAGGAGGTGTAACCAGCCCAGGGGAGAGAGAGAGAAACGCTACAACATGCAGCAATTACAGCTTAGCAGACATTACTTTACCTCTTTTGAAGGTGATAATGAGCTCCCTGGAGTCCACCTCCTCTCCAGCTGTTTGCACAGGACACTCTTCTCCTTCTTGTCCTATCTCCCGCCTTATCTGTATGTAGCCATCCCTGTGCAAGTGTACAAAGACAAGCAGTCTCCCAGTTATTAAAAATGTGTATTTTGAGCTGACCTGGTATTATTGCCTCTTGACAAGGTTACCTGACACTGTAGGTGCCTTAAGAGGGTTATGTCTTTGCTAAATGATGATTTTTTAGGCTATTTTCTTCCTATGTGAGTACTGCTGCAAGCAAACTCTTTTGGTGAAGGGAAGTATCATACCAGATTAGCCACTTCTAAATGAGCTGTCATTTTTACAAGAGCTATGGAGAGAAGAGGAAGATTTTGGGCAACTACAAATCTGTCAAAGCTTAGTAAACTGCTTTCCTCCTTCCTTACTAAGTCAAATGAAGGCAGATGGACTTTCTCTTTGCCACAAGAACTGGCTGTGGTCCTTCAGCAAAGGCATTTACAGAAGGGCCTTGAAGGCTTTTTCTGGAAAAACTGTGTTACCTCAAAGGCACAGGACTGGAGTTTGAGTGGGGAAGGCTGAAGTGGGGATAGGAAGCCAAGGCAAGCCCTGGTCAGGAATGGGGCAGAGGTGGGAACACCAAAATGTTCCCTGGAGTGGAAGAGGCAGCACATGGCAATACCTTCAGACTAAGTTATTAGGGTGGCCCAGTGGAAAAAGGATAGTGTGAAAACCTGAAGTAATTCTTATGTGGGCATCTGAGGCCTTTTGCAAAGCATCTATGGACACCAATATTAAAGAGGAGCACGTTAATTCCCTGAGTGGAAAGAAGAGAGAAGTCAGGAGAGAAATCTAGAAAAAGAGGTCCCAAAAACATTCCAAAGCTGGAAACAGGGCTGGGCTGGGAGGAAGAAAGAAAGGATGGCAGATGATTTTCAAGAAGCTGATGAACACAGGGTGGAAATGAGAGAGAAAGCAGTGGTATGCAAACAAAGGGACATTCTGTAGCAGCAAGGTACACAAATCAGAAGAAAGGATTTATGTAAGAAATGCTGAGGCATGTAAAATATAAGATGTGTTTTGTCTGTAGGTGATAGGGTGCAGGCAGCTGGATCGGGATACAAGGATAATGGTTTAGAACTGACTGGAAAGGTTAAAAGCACTGCAAGGCAAGAGGAGTTTTCAAAAAGACTTGATTTAGCTGATGAAACGTGGGATTTCTCATTATTCTTTCACAATAATCACTATATGAAAGTTTCTTACCTATACTGTTTCTATTCTTTTGTGTCTTTACAGCACAAGGAAAAAGAGGCAAACAAACAAAAAAGAAAAATGCTTAGGTCAGTGCAAGGAAAAATCAAAAACCTGAAGCATTCTGAACACAAGGACCACACTGTAGTCAGGGCTGGGGGTATCGCTGAGTGCTGCCAGGCAGTCAGTGCCCTTTCTGTCCCTGGGTAACCCCGTGTGTAAATGGGGGTCAAGTCTTGGGTTTCTTTTTGCCATTTGTAATATTCCTGGTGCTGCCTGGGAGGAGTGACCCCTCCCTGTAGGACGGGCAAGAGAAGCTTTGTGCTTGCTGGAGGGGGCACGTGGAGTCTCTGGGGACCATTCCCACAGTAAGCAAAGCAGGGCCTGTCAGCCACGGTCCCTGCCTGCTGGCGGTCTGACTGAGCAGGGTGACAGCCCTGCTCTGGGGCTGTGTTACAGCATTTGCCTTCTGGCAGCCTATGAAGCATCTCAGTGCACTGAGCCCTGAGGACTTCCATGCTCCAAGTCCATGGGACACTCTCCTCCTCAGTGGCA